AAAATCTTCTATAAACTATCTATCTAAATTCATAGTTTCTCGCTAGTTAACTGGATAATTATAATTCAATGTAGTAGTCATATAATAATATTTAAAAAAAAAATTTATTTATTTTTATTTACAAAAAAACTACAGTAATTTTTTTTCTTAATAACTAATATTTTCTTAATATCAGTGAATATCATATCATTTAATTGTAGCTTAAAAAACTAAAAATAAAATCAAACAAGAATTTAAAAGACTCTTTAGCTGGACGGTACTCATAAAAATATACTTCAGTAGCATTTGGTATTTTAACGCAAGATAAAAATATATACAGAACCTTAAGCTCCCATTTAAAATATAATACTATTATCAATCAAATCTCATATACTTTTAAAAATTAAAAATTTCTTATTGACGACTTCTTTATAGATATGTAGTATGTCAAAATACAGTAAAGTCAAATATAACATCATAAATAGACCTGTTACGAAAAAAGATCTGGAAAAGCATATAATGAGTTACAAAATGTTGAATAAATTTGACATTTTAGTCAGCAAACTAATCTCACATTTGAGATGAGTATCGATCAAATAAGATCACAATATCCATTAAAAACTGTCATCAGTTGTTCGGATTAAAAATTTTGTTGACTAGTGTAATTAGTCATCGAACTATAGAGACATGTTTGCTCATTTTGAAGCCAGTAAAGTAAATCTTTCTCTAAATGTCTACATAGCAAAAATTTTTATCATAAGTCAAGTTAAGTAAAGTTTACTTTAAGTAAGTTTAAGTAAGTTCACTTAATTTATTACTTAAAATTAATTGTTAAATTTATTATTAAAAATGTTCGCATTAGCATTATTATGACCATTTCTAACAAGAAAAACTAAGGACTGATAAAAGTTTGAAGTACATTATGATATCTCTCTTCTTTCTATCCATTTCTGATTGAAAGACTAAATTATCCCTGAAATTAAGCGAAGAACTATATTTATACATATAAATATCCATTATTAATGCATCACAAGATAATTTTTTTTTAATTACAGAAATTAACCGAAATCCTTCCTTGAAATAACTGTCCATCTAGAAATCCTTGTTAGAACGGACTTGCATCTACCTTTAGTGCATCTACTATCTTGTTTGAAAGAGTTTTATACACATTTATACATATGTATATTTATAACTAATGATTATTTCATAAAATAAATATTTTTTTTAAATTACGGTAATGAACTGAAGTCCCTTCTTGAAAGTCTAGCTACGTCCTGTTTATAATTTTAGTTTTGTTTGCTTGCAATTGGTTTCTATTTACTCTTATTACAAAAGTGAACTTTTGTAAAAATAAAAAAATTATTATGGTAGTAATGATGTTATAAATTGATTTGATCTATCATATACCCAGCTCTGAAAGTTTAAAGAAAAAATCTCCCAATGAATCTAAGTTTCTGTATTGAAAGAGCCGGACTGGGATACAAAACATATTCCTGCTTCAAGTCACAAGTCTTATAGCTTCGAATAATGATCAGTAATGATGGACGTTAGCTACTTAATTCGACTTCTTGTTAAACTTAATGGAGTAATAGTTATTTTGTGGCTTATATTTGATCAAACAAAATGTTCTTAGTTGTTAAATAACATAAAAATTAAATTTTCGCTGAAACTTTTCTATAAATGTAAACAGAAAAAGACTTTAAAGACCCTTCTTCTGAAAAGATACCTTCATTAATTCAATTGTTTTTACTTATTAATAATAATCGTAAATGTACAAAAAAAAAAAAACTAAAAAATTACAACTGTTACGGAAATCAACTGAGCATTAAATTTTTATAATAATCATAAAAATTATGCTTATAATTTATTATAAGCTAGTTTTATCACTAGTACATCACAGCTATAATAGTCGTTATTCATATGATTTTTCCTGACCAAACAAATGAAGTTGAAACATGTACTGAGCATATATTAGAGTACCGAGAAGCAAATATCTTATTAACATAAAGTAACAACGCAACAATAATTTAAAAGACTTGAGAAAATCAATGAAATAAATTTAAAAATTTTTTAAGAATTTTTATTTAATATTAGAAAATTCGTTAGCTATCTAAATAATAATCAAAACATTTTAAGGCCAGACTGAAACAAAAAGAAAATTAAATTAATAACAACTATTCAAAAATATATTAAAATATATATAAATCTAAAAAAAAAACAAAGAACACTCAAAAAATGAAATAGCCTATTTCAATTAAAAAAAAAAACTACTACGTCACCTTCACCAAACACTTACTACTAAATCTATTTTTCAAACAACAATTATTGGTTTAATTAAAAAAAAATATTTATATGTACATTTATTAATTAATATAATTTGTAATAATATATAATAAATATTAATTACTATATTTCACTTAAAAATCAATGAAAAATCTCAAAAAATCAGCAATTTAAAATGTACCTATGTCTTAACAGAAGATTATTATTATCATAAACTATATGTATAATAAGAACAACTAAATTACATATATATACATATATGTAATTAATCACAGTCACTTACAAAAATAAATTAAAGAATTTATAGTAATTTTATGAATCGAATATTTACTATTAAAAATTAAAGAGTATATTAATTACTTAAATTGAAGGGTCTTTCGAAATTAAATAAATCATTTGAATTATTTTAGGTCAATTATAAAGGCAATTGTAATCTCATTTAAGTAAAATAAAATTAATATTATGATTAAACATTAAATACATATATAAATATATAACAATGCAAATATAATTAAATATCAATTTAAAATCAAGCAAATCAAGTTCATAGAAAATGTATAGGAAAAATTATGTCAATATTATGAAAACTGCAATTAAAACTTTTAAAGTTAAAAAAGAAATTTATTGAAATAATTTAAAAAAAAATAATTCAAATAAATAAAATATTCATATTATTACATATACATTAAAATGAACAACGATAAAATTTATGCAAAAAAGTAATTAAAAAAAAATTAATTATAAAATTTTTATTTGTAAAAATTAAACAAAATGTACAAAATATTTTTAATATGTTTTTAAAAAAAATTAGTTTAATTTTAATTCATAATTAATTATATTATTTAAGTACAAAACAAAAACAGCAAATAAAACAAAAAACAAAATGATTCATATTTTAATAAACCGCATATTTCACGGTGCTATATATGTTTTTATATTATTTTAATTCAATAAATAATTTAAAAATTAATATATAATTAATATAAGTTCTTATGAAGTTATTCAATTGTGCGAAGTTTTAAATGCAATTATATATAATACATATTTATATATACACATATATAAAATTTATCCAAAATTTATAAAATCATGCGAGTCAAAATAAAGTCAACTATAAGGCAATTAATACGAATATCTTTTAGCATAAACCTTAGAACATTCGTTCCCACTGTCACACCTCACCAACACTTCTCAAGCACAAATCAATATCACAAAACATTGTAGTCATATCACCGTAAAATATATAACTAAATTATCTCACCGCAGAATAAATTCACGAAAATATTTCTCAATTCGCCTTATTACGTTTTGTTTCTGTTTAAATAATTATTTTATATTAAATTTAATTAAACTGTAAGCATACATATGATATATATGTAATTATTTTCATTAAGGACATTTGTTCATTTATATATAACATATATTAAAGTATATATAAAATTATAAAGAAATATCTATATATTTAAATAGTAATAATTTTATTATATAATATTGTGTATCATAAAATATATATAAATATTTGAATATATATATATATATAATATATAAATAAACGATTAAAGTATACATTATATAATATATGCATTGTAAGTTATAAATTGAAATTACAGATGTTATCAATAAAGACGATAGTTGAAAATTATAAATAATAAATTCTCCTCTTGTTTTTTTTATAAGTGTATAACTTTATAATATACAATTGAACCATTAATCCAATGATTCCCAACCTTTTTTTGAGCAAGGACCTCTATAATATTGTTTGTTTAAATTTGATACATGGATCATTTTTAACCATCTCGTGGACCACTGCTATAGCCGCGATTAGGTTAGATTATTATGGGGTCAGTACGGATCTTTTTAGTTCTATAAATCCATTCTGATAATTTAAAAAATTTGAAGCAGTTTAAGCATTAGGAAGGAAAAATTTTTGTATCTGACTGAAATCGTCTAAAAAATTAGTACCTAATATGTTGAATAATTTTAGACTATGACTGCTTGGACTATAAGTCTTGCCACGAATACTACTTACGGTGAATATATAAGATTGATTTGATTGAATACTGGATCAGTTTATTTGGGAGAAAAACTTATGCAATACTGTTTCTACTGTAATCCTACAGTAGAACCAAAAAGGATTAAAATTTTAAACAGTTGGCAATTGATCTGGTTTGGTCCTAGTAAGTGTAGTAAGTAAACTAAATTTATGTCTTGCCCCATACACAGTGTAAACGTTATTTATTTGTTATTTTTTTTTAAAAACAATTGAGAAAAGATTTTTCAGATTCAGTGGAGATATGGCAAGGAAAATTTCTAACTGTAGCTCTATGTATCTAACAAGCTTGAATAGGGTTTATAATTATAATTACTACATATATAATACCAACGTTACATATAAAAATTTGATAAATAAAAGTAATGATTAATTCTTTTCCAGAGCGTAGGTAGAGAAATACGCTCATTGCGACAGACATGGGCCTATTGGACCGTTTTGATACCACTTGATCCTACTTTAGGAATACATTCGCCGTTAACCAAAAAATCTCGTAAACATCAAAATATCTAGAGCGTGGATATATATAAAAACAGTTTATTATTAAATTACAGAAATATTATTATTAATATTAAAGTAGTTACCTACGTATTTGACCAAATTCAATGACAATATATATCGATATAAAAAAAATTTAGTTTTATTTTATTCTTATCAAAGTTGGTCGAAAATTTTATTATAACAAATGTCGAAATTTTCGTAATAAAAAGTTACGAAAAAATTGTAAAAGGTGAGAAAAAAAATCTTCTTCAGTAGTTTGTATATATAATAACATACATAATATATATACATATACTTTGAACATTATATAAGATCTATTTTTAGACCTTCAATTAATCTGTAAGAAAATTTCTTGAAAATTCTTAACGCTTTTGGTATTCATTGTTTATGTAAGTACATTTATTAAAATATAAAAATCTTAATAATCTTATTAAGTGAATTAATATATCATATACATCCCAACCATGTTCCGTCAATTTGTTCCAAATTTATAAAGAGTGCACACCTCTGTCTGACTTTGTTATAAATACATCTCTGTTTCTGTTGGCCAAATTTAATCACTTTTCCTTGATTGTTTCGATCAAGTGGTGGAATTCTGAGTTGTGGAATATCGAATTAGCTATTGAACCAGTCTGGAGCAGTTTGTAATAAACAATTATATTCTAATCTTATCAAAAAATCAATCTAACTTTTTAATTGAGCGATTGTTGGTTTTGTATAATTGGATTAGTATTGTCAGATATATGAGTAACAACACCATCCAGTCACTACTATACTACCTAATAATTAGAAATACTCAGATATGATTCTTAACTCAGGAAATCAGTAAAATTCTTAATTTTCTATACAATTGTTTTTGAGACATTAAAAGGGTCGGTAAGGTTTGATAATTTAATACATTACCGAGGCTGCAGGTTTGATATTTTTTTCGATCACATTAAATATATTATATTATATATATTTATTTGTAAACTATTTACAATATTTTAAATATTACCAAATAATTGTAAAAAAAATCCCTTTTAATTTTTCACAAAGTTAAATTATAGGAGATATCCAGTAATATCTAGTATCATATATTCTTACTGTTCAATAATCATGTTTTGATTGATTCCCCAGTTATGTCTTGGGGCATAAGTCAGTATCTTGCTTCTTCTAAATCATATCTTAAAAAAATCATTTTAAAGTTTAGTATTTATAACAACAATCACAGTTAACCTAACATCATGGATGGATTGAACAGTCCTCGCATACGCTTTAAGACAAGTTATGATGAAACTGTCTATCCTAGTCGGTAAGTACTCAACTAAACATACGCTTACAGTATCTGATATACAATATCTGATATACATTTAACTTATAATTAAGTGATATGATGCGTAGACAACGCATCTTATCGGTTAAGAACATGGGACTTCAGGACATACCAGCTGATGTTTTTCGTGTTGCTAATGAAGAGCTTATTTCCATTGTGGATTTATCCAAAAATCTGTTGGATGGTCTTCCGAATGGGTAGGAATATTAAAAGAAATGTGTTTCAAAACTTAATTTATACATATTTATTTATCAGAATTTTTGTCCTGGAGATGAACCTTTCGGAACTGAATTTGTCAAATAATTTAATTCGTTTCTTGTCGCCCGCTATTGCATACTTCAAACGCTTAGTGATTCTCAATTTGTGCACCAATGGATTAACAGAACTGCCAGATGAATTCGCAGAGTTAACAGCTTTAGCAGATCTCAATTTATCCAGCAATCGGTAATGCCTTTTTTTTCTTATTTAAGAATAGAATATAAAAGAATATTTTACAGCTTTGAAGATGTTCCAAATTGTATTTACAAATTGCCGCATTTGGAGGTTCTTTCGTTGGCTGATAATCATATTAAAATCATTGATCCTTCTGAAAGAGGATTCGGTGGTTTGAAATCTTTACTTAATCTTGATTTAAGTAACAATCATATCAGTCAAGTTCCCCCCACTCTTGGAAATTTAACAAATATTGTGTAAGTTTAAGTGAGGCTCAATGAGTTAATGATTGAAATTAATTGTTTTTACTTTTAAGTTTTTTGTGTCTTATTGGAAACCCATTTCGTAATCCTCGCCATTCAGTACTAGAAAAGGGTACCAAAGCTGTTTTAGCTTACTTACGCAATCTTATTCCAAGTGAAGATTCACACACACAATATTGAGATGATTCATGTATACCTTATATATTTAATATCTCATATTTGTACATAAGATATATATTTTTGTCTTGCATCTTAAAATTAATTGTTTTACAACAACAAAAAAAGATATTACCAAATTATGAGTATTTTAATAAAATCAATTTTTTTTCTTTTTTACATTTCTTTTTTGCAGAAGTATATTATATCAGTCATCTATTATTAGTTATATTATTAAAATGAAGAAATATTACATTTCATATATAAATATAAATTTCATGATGTGATCATAAAATTTTTGGTGCTGTTAGCTGATATTTAGACATAAATTTACTGTATATATGTGAGTTAAGTTGAGCACTAACAGCGTATATGAGTTATATGGTGGATTTATTCCGTAGTTTAAATATGAATTCAGTTTCGTAAGCCAATTTCTGTTTGTTGTGCTTTTGTAGTCGTATATATTGATTTAGTAATAGTTTATAATTTTCAGCATTAGTTTAGTGATTGTTATGTAGAGACATCAAACAATTAAGAAGCAAAGAAATTAAATTAAGTTAATTATGAGTTCAGACATTGTTAATGATTCTGTATTTAGATTAATGCATTTATTAAACACTATATACACTATAAACACTATATGTATCAGAACATCAGAAAAATGTACAAGAAACGAAGCAGCCTTACTGCTTGTTTGATAGGAACCTACTACAGCTTAGAAAAAATTGTCTCTTTTCATGCATTCAGAAAGAAGAGGAGGAATCTTAAAAGCTGTACTGGAAAAATTTACAGGTGCTATCATAAAAAAAATCGATATGAGGGAGTTTCAACTGAAATAGAAACATATCAAAAATCATTAAAGGATTCCTTTCAGAGTACAGGTGGGACTATCATCTTGAGAAACTGGGAATATAATTTAATGGTACGTACAGGTTCTATAAAGAGAAGAATGAGATCTGACAGGGCACTATATGTTAAATTGTTGTTATCTTACAAAACAAGGAACTTACTCGAATGGATTTTGAATTCTTGGTAGAAAAGAGATGAAGAAAAGAGAAGGTAGAAGAGAAAAGTGCTGAAAACTACCTCGAAATTGATTTAACAACGAAAGAAAGCTGAAGTTAAAAATATAAACTGCGTTAAATTTTGTTGAGCACTACAATTTATTGTAAAAATTAGACTCAGAGACATACCTTGAATCAAGTCTTGAATATACATTAAATAGTTATGTTGCAGTATAAAGCCCCACAACTTAATACTAACAAAAATGTGATTTATCATTAAAGAGAATATCTATTATAAATATATAGACATTTATTATATATCTATATCTCATTATGAATCCCCGTAACAAAACAATTATTAAAACTAAATATTAGTATTGTAATTCAAAAAAGAATTTTTAATATCCACTTGATCCATATATCCTGTTTAATATTTCTATTCATATACTTTCTGGGTAATAATAGTACACTCAAATAATTTTTTTGTTAATAGAACAACTACAGCAAATGTGATTGGTCTCTTGTAAACAATTTTACTAACAGAAAACAGTTGACGAATTTTTCGTTTACGGTAAACGAAATTATTTTCAGAATATATATAATATTATATATATATACCCTATAGTTAATATTATCTTATATTAAGTTTGTAGGCTAGTGTTTTAATTTTATATGTTGTTGTTTATTGAAGTGTGACACCTATACGTAAAAACCCAGTAAGAAAACAGGAATCTTGTCTTTGAACTAAAGTCCTACTTTATATTTTTGAATCGGTTTTTGTTACTGTCGCATATATAATAATAAAATTTAATGATCAGAAAGGCAACAGACGTAAACAAAATAAATAAAGCTCAGTACCAAAACAAAACAAAGGAAAACCGTGGGTGTGTACAGTTTAGCAAAACAACAATTTACCCAAAGAACGTTAAAAAAATTAACAATTAAAATACACAATTAACTTAAACAAATAATAAAAAAAAGCGGAACAGGAAAAGGTAAACAGTTGATAAGCATTAATGTGTATTTGTTCGTATTTATTAAGGTTAATTGATACCGAAATATTAAATTTCGCATAAAAATAAGCTTCGAGAAATCATCGCCAGAGTTGCTAAAAATGACAATGTAACAGCAGGGTGTAGAGGGCAGAATGAGGCAACGAGGTAATATTATTCACAGCCGGTGTCCGGAACTTAACTCCTATAGGCCAGCATATCTATAGAACTATTTTTACTGGCTTCCAATTGTTTGCTGTCTGTAATCTGAAAACTGCGTGTTTCGAATTAACAATGCATAGATTGTGTGGAATACGTGGACTGTTTTATTGACAACCTAATCAATTGACAGTCAGAATTTTAATTAAAACTCAATTACTTTTGCCAATACGTAGTTTTATTGGCTTTAAAATTTTTTACATTATTATCAAAAAGTAATGGCAATATACTCCTTTTTTTAAAATTAAGTTAGTATAATAAAATATCCTTATCGAAGTATTTTACATATTAGCATTTAATGTCCGGATTCTTGGATTTTAGCACAACGACTTAATTTAGTTCAAAGTTACGCTAAATTTTCTTTAATGAATACCACAATAATCTATTTACTAAATAATTAGCTGAGGCACTAAAAATGTTTCTTTGCTAAAAATACAATAAGTCACCTTATCAAAATCTAAAACTAAATTAAAAATTATTAACTAATATTAGTCAAAATTTATCACTACACTACACTTAAGTCTTATTTGCTGTTGTTTAAAGTCTTATATGATAAAATCAATTTAAAAGTAAACAATTTACTCTGAATTTAATATTTACTTACATTCATACTCGCACATGCATATATTGTAACCCTTAATAGTAGTTTTAGGTAAGTGATTATATAGCTTTGGCTAGTGGAAGAAAGTGGATTTGAGAGATGTGCATTCTTTGCGACTTTTCGGACTGCTCACTGGTAAGAATAAATGACCTGTTAAATTACATTACCTGAATGAAATAACTTGTATTAATGTAGGGGTTTCTTGTAAGGACTCTGATATGAAAAAGGGTAAATCATTGCTAATTATTGAGAGCAAAAATGTATTTGCCCATCAGTCATTGCCACCAACCAACAAACAGTGATTTATTGTTCCTTTTAGATATTGTACTTAAGGTTTACTTATACATTTATAAACACAACATTAATAATATTTTTATAATGCTTTTTGATTACTTATTATTTTATTGATTGATTACTTCTCTTTTAAAAAATAAAAAATATATATCTCAAAGTTTAGATAATATTATCTCCATCTTTATTATCTATATACACTACATTAATAAAATTTTAATAATGTTTATTGATTACTTATTACTTTATTAATTGATTACCTCCTTTAAAAAATAATAAATGTATATCCCAAAGTTTAGATAATATTCTCTTCGTCATTATTATCTATATACACAACATTAATATTTTAATAATGTTTATTGATTACTTGTTACTTTATTGATTGTTTACTTCTCTTATAATATTAATAAATGTATATCCCATAGTTTAGATATTATCTTTATCTTTATTATCTATATACACAACATTAATATTTTAATAATGTTTATTGATTACTTCTTACTTTATTGATTGATTACCTCCTTTTAAAATCAATAAATGTATATCCCAAAGTTTAGATAATATTATCTTCGTCTTTATTATCTATATACACAACATTAATATTTTAATAATGTTTATTGGTTACTTATTACTTTATTGATTGATTACCGCCTTTTGAAAATAATAAATGTATATCCCAAAGTTTAGATAATATTATCTTCGTCTTTATTATCTATATACACAACATTAATATTTTAATAATGTTTATTGGTTACTTATTACTTTATTGATTGATTACCGCCTTTTGAAAATAATAAATGTATATCCCAAAGTTTAGATAATATTATCTCTTGGTCTGAACGTTATACCTTTCAACGCTTTGATTGGGATTTATAGATTGCTGTTTATTTAACTGATTGTAGATTTTTCATCGACAAGTAGTTATGGAGCTATAGTTTACCCATTCTGATATATTATATTAAGAAACCCTTAGCTATGCATGTTTTGTAAAGATTTTGGTGTTTTCTGAAACAAAAACTTATTTTGAACAATCAAACCGATTAACATTCATCGAAGCTAAACATTGATTCAATATCTCAAAAATTTATAAATGATTTTCTGAAGGATATAAAAATGATCAAATAACTTTTTTTCTTCCACTAGAGTTTTTTATATTTTTCTAGAAATCAGCGCCTAATACATATTGTCTGTATTTATGCTGTAGAGATACTTTAGGACACAAATAACAAGTTTTATTTAATCGTCGACTTCTATAAAGTTCTCCTGATTTACTGTAAGTCGTTATCTAACAGCTTATCCAGTTAGTTGACGAATTGAGAAAGTGATATGTTAACTAATCAACAGATAGATGGATAAACTATTCGTCATTTATTACTTTTCATAAATATTTATGATCAGTATATCACCATTGGTTATAATATGTTGAACCATGAACATAACCAAAAGAGGAAAGGGACTAGTAAAATCATAGAGGTCAACAAATTTTTTAATTGACATTTTTACTTCATAATATAAAAATAATATAATAATATATATAATTATATATATAATATATATATATATATATATATAATATAATATATATATAATAATATTTATTAAAATACATTTAATCAATTAAATATATAGTTATAGGTATCTTGCAAGATCTTAAACTTGCATATGTATCTTAAAAGTTTATATTATAAGATAGTATTATAGTTAAATTTTAAGAAGAGTAATTGTCACCAATTCCTTCTGGATATTCTTGTGTGTTCAACGTTTCCTTCTCAATATCCTAAATATTTTTGGGGGCTTAATGTATTATTGTTCAGGATATGAACACACATTCAATATTGATATTGAGTTTTAAAGGTAAGTGAAAATTATTTTAGTAGGGAATATTCCTACTAAATATATATACATTGGTTCCATATATATAATTTACATATATAATTTATTTATATATACTTAAAACATATATATTCAAAAAAATTAAATAAGTACCTACTAAAT